GGTAGCTTTCATTACTGTGACGAACACTCTCATATTCAAGGTATTTACAATTTGGAATAATTGTTTGTGTCTTTTGTTTGTTTGTTTTGTTTTTTTTTCAATGTTTCTTTCCATGTGGTAGCCCTTAGCCTCTCCTTGCAGTTGTAATACATTGCCATGCAAAACGTTACACGCCAGGGTGGCGGGAGGGGGTATTAGCTTGAAATGACAACACTTTTTTGGGACCAGTCAACATAAAAGCTGTGGGTCAGGGAAAGTAATCCGGGATTGCTTTGGTTTTTAGTTTTCTTTTGCGGTTTGTATAGTCCTGTACGCGTAATAGACTTTTGTTCTCCTTCTCTCTACTTTTCCTCATTTTTTTATCGAATCGTTAAGTGTCTTATAAGTTCAACAAGGGCCTTGAAATGATGTGTCAAGTTTAGGCAAGGAGTGCACTGCAACCCTTCATCCATTACTTTGTTTCTTTTGTTGTAGGATCTGTTTCACAATCCACCTTCCTTCAAAAGCTCCATTACGTTATCGTGGAAACCACCAGTAAGTAAATTTTTGACACTATTTTTTTTTTTTCGGTAGCCCGGGTTTAGAATGCATAAGCTTTTGTTACGTGTTTTGACGGTTTATTTTTATCTTACAGGCGAAAACACAAGCGTCGACACTAACATCTCCAAAAGATTCGAAGGACACAGTAGTAGATGAGAAGTAAGTTTGAAAACCTTTTAAAAGAGTATTTTCCCTTAATTTCTTCACGGCTCTTGTAACACCTGCAAATAGACGTAGTCCGCGGCGTTGTTTGTGACCTGATTTGGGCTGGGAGGTACCTCTTTGTTTTGGCTTCAGGGTCAGGCCTACCGTCTAATGTCAGAATTCAGTAACAGAGGTTTGAATAACTTTATCCATAAGCTGCTGCCGATGGTAATATGGGTTACCCCAACCATTTCGTCATGTATTGTAGCAGTTAGGCTTGCTGTGGCCCATTTCTTCGCTTTGTGAATTTTGGGAGAAATGTGTCTTGTCCACGGTGACCTGGCCGGGGCGAGGCTCGATCCTGGACCTTTGGGTACAGAGTCCAGTACGGAGATCATCCCATTTATCACTGTGCCTCAGCGCCTTTCACTTCACGGGAAAGGAACAAAACGGATTGCCACATTCCATATCCTTAAATGAGAACGTTGAAATCATTCAATATCGTAACATTTTATAGACAATGATAGCGAACTAGAAATCGCCAAAGCTTCGATGGGGTGGTACTAAGTCCCACTCCTGGAGGCTGTCTATAATGACGCGCTAAAACTTTGTGTCTTTGTTTTTCCTCAGGCGAAAACGCGCTGGTATTACGCCAATCAAGTTCGACCTTCCACCCGAGACGAAGTCACCTAAAAAGTCCAAGCCGAGTACAATCTCTGTGTACACTCCCCCCGGTCGCCGAGCAGGAGCGTCCAATGGCGTCGTCAAGGGTCAGACCATGCCTGACGGTGGTAGGGGTCGGGGATTTCGACAAAGAGGCCGCAACCGAGGGCGAGGGAGGGGCTGGAGAGGAGGCAGATCTTAGATCATTTATTCTAGAACGTCCCACACATGTGAAGTACAGACACCATTTTACTGAAATCATCTTAAGATATTTTTACAGTTGTCTTCGCCAGAAATTGCAACTGACAGAGGACTTGGTCCTGAAAGTTTATTTATGGAGTTGACTATAATAATTGTAATAGTTCCTACTTTGTTTTAAAAGCTTTTTAATTGACCTTGTGACTTTCAAGGCATGGTTTTACCCCTCTAGGAAACATTCATCTCCGTCTTGTTCGATCAGGGTATTTTTTTTTCAGCCAGATAACTTCGTATTCCCCCTCCTAACTCTTATTGCCTGGAAGGGAACTTTTTCCTCAGAGCGGGTGTTTGGGGGAGGGTGGGAGGGTTGTTTTTGTAACGGAGCATACTTGCGACGATGGAAAACTCACTGTGAAGTAGAGATTGTGTCTTGTCGAGCGTTATTTTTTGATAGAGAGATACTTGAGTTCCTGTAGAACAGATATTTCTTTTAAGTGCATTGTTTTTCCGAGTGTGAAACTGAGGTCACACGAGCTTTACAGATGCTTGTCAGGTGCCTGATCACTCCCAACAAAACAAGCCTTTGAGGCTCCGATTCAGCCTAGGGTCTTATTCATTATTTGATCTGTAAACTCTTCTTACCCGTGTGATTCAAAGATTCGCAGCTTACCCTGAACGTTTTCTGTGAAACTGTAATTAAAAGCCGTTGTTTCTTTTCTTCCTGTCTTGCGTCTTCTTATTTTGCCAGACGAAATGGTTTGCGTTTGTGTCAGGATCCAGAAATCACCATTCCGACGCAAATTTTCTTACTTTGATATCCTTTGCTAACCTCGTTCCCATGCTCGCTTTAGGGAGTACGCAGAAGCGAAAGTCTGGGGTCGAATTTCATTGCATGCGGTGTCAATTCGTTCTCTTTCACAACATCTAATTCACACTAAAGCTTCATAAAATACAATAGCTGGGAGATGACAGATTTTGAGTGTAGAATTAACAAAAGGGGGAGGAGGGTATCTGGGAGTAAGGCTGACCTTGGTAGCAGTAATTGTCTGGAGATGCGGTATGCTTTCTACTTGGCAGGCATCTCAAAAGTATTCCGTTCGATAAAAAAGTAGAATAATACTCCTCAGATCTCTTGCAGAAAGAGGCATGCACTTAGATTTTCTTCATTTGGTTTCTCTCGTCAACAAATAGTTGAGGTGATGAAAACAATTACTACGAGTTAGTTCCTTTTTTTAATGACACGTAAAATTCGCAAAAAAATGAAGAAGAGTTGACCTCGCCCTGCCTTCTCGCTCATCTCCTTTTTAACTCGTGAATTGCGCGCATGCGCAAGAGCGAGTTATAGATACGA